ACATAGAAGAAGACGTAAATGTTTAAGAACTTTTCTGTAAGAATTTGCTTAAGGAATGTCTGTTCGTGCATGCATTTGCATAAGAAAAGCAAAGGTATTTCTGTTGTTTCTCAAATGACTTTGTTCGAGAGTAAAGTTTGGCACCTTTGAAAAGGCGTGGGTGATGCATGGATGAGGGCTGCTTAAAAACTGTTGTTTTCAAAAGTAAATGGGTTTTTACTCTTAATTGCGGTTCACGTAGAGAAGAATATTGCGATGTTTTTGGGCGGAAAGTTTAAGAGGTTATTGTCGTGTTTCAATAGGATCCCGCAAATGTAAAGCAGACAATTTAGAAGTGTCAGGACAAAAGCTCATATTCCGCGGAGGCGGCGTCGGTTGCGGCAGTTAAAACTAGGAGGAGGAGGACTAAGGAAGGGAGAGTTTTCCCCCCCAGATGTTCGGAGATATATCACGCGGGGGATGCAGAAGACGGGGGGCACGCAGAGCACGCATCCATCTCCTTAAATGACAACGGCGTCGCGGCGCGCTCAGAAAACCAATAATACTTACCTCGTTCCCCGCCCTTCGGCTGCTGCCGTTATCCCGAAGGCTTCGCCGCCGCCGTCTTCAAGACTTGTCAGAACCTTTAAACATGGAGATTAGATGCAGGTCTTTGCGTGGTTTCTGGAGGATATCTGGTCACAAATCGGGGGTCGAGCCGTAGTAACAAAGGCATCGGGAATCACGGTCCGCTTGACCGGGAACATCATAAATCTGGGCCCAAATCCGGGATAAGGATACCTTGACAACGTGTACCCTGCCATCCTGCACAAAACGTTAAGCCAGTTGCCCATGAAATATTCATCCCCTGCACTTTATTTCCTCCCTCCCTTTCCTTGAGAATTTGCAATTTTAAATTCCAGATAATATCACCACCATCGACTAATTCCCTTCTTCCTTGGGAATGATGAAAACTTCGAATATTACTTATGGTGATGGCCAATCTTCCCATCCCCTAGCAGAGCGCGCACAGAACCTTGTTTCATGTCTCTCAGGCATTCGGGAGGCGACCGCTTGACTTTATTAAACCAATTATTGGACTTTGTAACTTTCGGGCAAATTTATATGAACATTAATTAAGTGGCGACGACAAATCATATCACGAACCGAACGGCCTCTCTCAAAGATGCCCCTACGTGCAGCCACCCTTCAATCCCGTAGCCGCGAAACTCGCTCGAAAACTATTTCAATATCGTTTTCGTTTGCATTACAGGGACCGCAGTTCTTTGTGTCCGATATGCCGCAAATGCCATTAAATTACATTAAATGTTTGCTATCCGTATATGTTTGCCTTTGTGGACTTCCTCCACTCAAAAGAAACCAAAATCGATCGATTCCCATTAAATTAAAGCATATTTCACAACGAATATTATTTCAAGATTCAATCCGCACTCAAATTTAATTTAATTTCAAGATGTTAAATATCATTTTAATTAATATTAGCACTCTATATTAATTAAATTAATATCAAACACAAATACACTCATAATATTTTTTATATATGATGTAATTAACAAACGTAGTTTTATAGAAATTAAAAAATTAAAACATTGCAAAGGTAAGATTTTAAGCTTTAATTTGAGTATAAGATGCTTTAATTAGGTGGCTCAATTCACGAAATCATCTCAGAGGGCTGATTCAAATTGTCTAAATATGGTTCTGTTGAAGTACGTAAGTATCCTACGTGGTTGAAAAAAAAATGACGACAAAAAAAAAGGTGAGACATTCAGCTTTAATTTGAGTGTAAGACGATGTAATTATCTTCAGTGGTTCTCGAGTAATTCACTAACAACTGAAGACATAGATCTTCAACGTACTGAAAATTACGTAAGTTTTTTTTTACATAACGTATTGAAATATTGTAGAATATTAAATAAAATCATAATAAAGTTCATTGGTTTTCGAGTTATTAACGAAAATCGTTTTTTTTTTCTCTATCAAATTGCAATTTTAAAAAAAATTCCATGGCAATTGGACAACATTTTCAGTAAATTTCAAGCAGATTAAAATCGAAGCTAAAATCGTTTCAGTGGGATCATTCAAAAGGTGGCGGTCTCCAGTTTATGGTTATTGTTGAATTATGTAATCATCCTGCGTGGTTATCCTGAAATTAAATAAAAGCTATAGACTGTACATTTGCAATATTGATAGATTAAATAACTCGTTTAAGAAGAACAGATTAAGTCACCAACTTCTACATAAGCTTTATGAAAAGGGAAGTCTTTTGTCTTTAAATTAGATGCTATATGATCTAATTATCATATGTGGTTGTAGAGCAATTATATAAAACATGAAAACACAAAAATTGAAAATAAATAATATTATTACTTTCTTAATTAAATAATATCACTACGTTCTCAATTTAATTTAAGTTAAATACTCAAGTTGAGAATATTCTCTTATTCGCTCTTCATAATGCAAAACTTTTTGCATTATGCAGATACTCATAATTCTTGTTGCATTGTCGAGTATTTAAATGCTAAATTACATTAAAAGTGGGACAGTGGGATGAATTTTCTTCTTGGTGGGAAAATGTTTTGAAAGCCGGTTGAAAGCCCTCGACCGTAATTTTAAAAGCTTTCTCAGATAAACATTTTATCTTTGACGGCATCACCATTTTACCGGAAGTTTCGATGACGTTTGCAAACCACGATTTTACTTTTGCTCGCATCAAATTATTTAAAAAAAATAACATATTTCATTGTGATCATATTGATATTTTATATAAATCATGAATTGTCTGTCAATCAATAAAATTGAGTTTTGCTTCTTCATTTCCTTGCTAAAAGTTGTCTTTAATTATCTTGAAGATGGTCAAATTGATGATGAGATAGAAAAGTAAGTGGAAAAACGTCTTGCACTATATGTAATGACCCTAACCACGATTTTACTTTTGCTCACATCAAATTATTTAAAAAATAACATATTTCATTGTGATGTCAATCAATAAAATTGAATTTTGCTTCTTCTTCAAATATGGATTCATTTCATTGGTTAAAAGGTGTCTTTAATTATTTTGAAGATAGTCGAATTGATGATGAGAAGAAATAAAAGTAAGTAGAAAAACTTCTTGCACTTTATGTAATGATCCTAATGGATCAAACCTTAAATCCTACAAATCTTTGAATTGCCTTGTACAGAACTGAGCCGAACATCTTCCATGCGCCTAAGCAGATAAAATCAGTGCGTTTTCTACGGGGCTTAGGGAATGCCAACGCTCTGACAAATGGTTTAATTAAATTATTTCCGAAAGTCCCCCTTCCTCGAGTGTCCTCATAAAGAACGACAGCAAGGAATGTCTCTCTGCACTTGCATTCAATTTTTCAAAACTTATTAATTCCGAATTCCTCGAAGGGCCTCCAAACACATACACACATCACAGAGAGAGAGAGAGTGAGAGAAGGGAAAAAATCCCGTTTTTGTTTGTTCGAGTTTTTCCCCTTCGTGCATTTACTTTTTCGCGTAATAAATTACGCCGTCCGTGAACATCAATTTCAATCCGTGGAATAAGAAGGGAGCGAAAAATAATGGGCGAACCATTGTCGGAATGTTCTTTACGTGCTGAATTTTAAAATGTTTCGAGTTCCTTTTTTTTTTTATTATTTTGTTACGTTTTCTTTTTGTTCGTTCTTTGCCTCATTGAAATTTTCTTAACGATTTTGACCGGTTTTCAATTCTCACCTTTTGGACCAGTTTTCGATTTGCCATTGTAACGAAATGAAGAAAATTGTACAGCATTATTAAAATAAGTAAAAAGTAAAGAAATATGAAATTAACTTAAATGTTAAAACATTCGAATATTTATAATAAAAAGCAGGAATGGAAATGAACTGAAAAATCGATATTTAATTAATGAAAACTATAATTTAAGTTGTATATACTGAAAATTAAGTTCGTTTTTTTTTTACATAATATTGCGGATTATGCAATAAAATCATAATAAAGTTAATTAGTTTTCGAGTTATTAGTTATTAACGAAAAACATTTTTTTCCTATCAAGAAATATGAAATTAACTTAAATGTTAAAATATTTATAATAATATTTATAATAATAAGGGAATGGAAATGAACTGAAAAATCGATATTTAATTAATGAAAACTATAATTGAAGTTGTATAATACATAGATCAAAGCTAATTATTTAAACTGCGTCCTGTTTAACATTTACACTTCGAGGCGTACATCTGTTTGGTCTCTAAACCACGAGATGTTACCGAAGTTCACTTTTGATTACACTTAATGTGTGTTTACTACTGGAAGTTGCACTATATACTCTTGCTAATAGCAATAACTTTGTAGGTGGTGGGATATAATTATACCTAACTCGGATCATTACTTTATATATAAAACACAAAATGTAATAGTTTTAACTCATTTTAACATTAGATTATCGATTTATTCTTCATACTTATCGAGTTACATGATAAAATTGCAATAAACGTTTATTGAAATTTGAAAATTAATTACAGGAAAACGAAAAATGCTATAAACACGATTCTTGGCGCGTTTTAAAGACTACAGTTTTTTCTTAAATTTGATTATTTAATAAACATTGTGCTGTTGATGGTTCTTGAGTTATATAACAAAATGTAAAGACACGTTTTATGTTATTTAAAACTTTATTGCAGATTATAGGATTATATTAAATTTCATAAATATAAATAAACATTTAATTCTCTCTAATATTAGCTTACTTTTCATTATAACTGTGTAAATAGTGATGCTTTTATGTAAGTCTTTAATATATTAATGAATCATTTCTTCAATTCTACATAAATCATGCAATTAGTTATATGCATGTACAGTTTCCAATTTAATTAAATATTCAGTTTGAAATGTAAATTTCAAGTAATTAATCATGTTCGAAACTTCGGCGTTATGCAACGATCCTTCACGTTACGCCACTGTACCGAACCTGTTTGAATCCCAGCCCAGCTGGAGTTTGGCAACTATTTTGGCGGCAAAAAGTTTCACACGTTGCGTTTGTAAATATAATGGAATTCGGTGTTGTTTGGTGAAGTGTCTTCGTGAAGTTTACGCATGAGTTTAATTTATATTCAGTTTTACGTGCCTTGAGTGAACAACAATAAACTTGTAAAGTCTTCGAATGTTTCATTGAATGTTTTCTTTACATTCATAACCTTACATTCGTTCCTCCACAACAAGTTGATCATGTCCACATTACTGTCAGCCGAGCTGGTGGCAACCTGCAACAGTTTGGGTTATTACAATGCAGAGTCAGATAAGTACTTGGCCGATGACAACACGCAGGAGAGTGTCAAAGATCTGATCCGATACTTGAGGAGAGATGATGGATCTCATGATATCCGCAGGCAGCTGGGGGAGACCAAAGTGGTCCAGACTGATTTGCTGCCGCTGCTGAAGAATTATTGGGAAGAGACTGAACTGTTTGATACATTGTTAAGGTAAATTTGATTGATATTGATTATTGGGTTTTTATGCATTTGTGGTTTTAGGTTATTGGTGAATTTAACAACTCCGGCTCTGATGTTGTGGGAGGAGGAGATGCCCAAGGAGTTGGCTCCTCGGAATCATTACTTGCAGATCGAGGAACATTTGCAATCATATAAAGAGGCTTTTGTCGATGAAGCTGTTTGGGCTGTGCTTAGCTCAAGGATCAGCAAAATCTTGGAAATGGTATGTCAATATACAGTGTATAAGTGAAATAATATTAAATATATTATTTCTTAAATACAGTAGAACCTCGCTTAACGAGTTTAATCCGATCCAAAATTTCCGGATTTTTACTCGCAATCCGGGACTTCTCTTCTCATCGTCACTCGTTATGAGAAACGTCGCTCGTTAAGCGAGTCATTTTTCTTACAATTCATTTTGTTCGTTAAGCGAGGTTCCACTGTAGTTGAAATGAAGAATCCATGACTAACGCTATTTTGATTATAAAATTTGTATAAAAAATTTGTGTAGTCCACAAAGGAAGTAATTGGGAAATGATTTAAAGTTAATTTGAAACATATATTGTTTAAATAAATAAAAATCCATGACTGAAGCTATTTGGGATCTAAATGAATGATCATAAAATGTGGATTTATAACGCAGTGTAAATAGTAGAACAATATCAAGCAATTTCGAGCGAATCGATAAGTATTACAAACGTATAAATTCGGTAGTCCATGAAGCAAGTAATTGGGAAATGATTTTAAGTCCCAATTCGTTCACAATTGTACACTATTCTCTCGTTTTTTTTTTTGTGTGATCGCGCGGGCGTTTCGCATTCGCACAGTGATCCGCTTTAATGCTCTAATTAATAGCCGCACATTAAATCATCCGAAATGCGGTTTAATGTGTTAGAGTTTTATTCCCGTTGGCAATAATATTTTGCACGCTATTTAATAATTAATTGGCGGATCCCCGGTGCGCGCCAATTCGCATCGTCCGTGCATTTATTTATCCCCGGTATTTATTTTTTATTCGCTGGTTCGTCGTTCCAATTTCACGTTTTTGCATTGCATTTCATTTTTGGGCACTGCCACTGCCCGTGCAATTGCATTTACCCCCCCTTCGTTCACGTTAAAAACGTTTCAATTTTAATCCAATCCGGCCTTTAAATTCCGGTTTAAATGTTTTATGCCCGTTGAATTATGTTTATACAGATATTGCACATCGATTTTAATGGACTCAATTAGTGTAAACTAGATATAATATGTACATAAAATACATTCGACGTTATTATATGAATTCCAAAAACTTTTTTTTTCTCTCTCTCTCTTTTCACTTCTGTAAACGATTGATGTCGACCGAAATGTAAATACTTATAATTTAGAATTGAACGGAAAGTAAAAGAAAACACACGGAGGAATCCTTAATTAGTGATTTAATTACGAGGCGCCGCCTTTGAACTCTAATTAATTGGCTTTGCCGTGGGAGATGTTTTCGCGTTCTTTTATGCTTGCCGCTGCTTCATTTCTTCTCTTCTACGCTTCTCTCCTGTTCGGAGTACTTTTGCAGCCCCGGGAAAAACTCAAGTTCCTTTTTCAGCCGTTTTCAATTACAGTAGTATTCCCGAATTTACTTTCCATCAATGTTTTAATTTTTTTTCTTCTTCCAATCGAATCATGTACATTTCAACATTTCAAGCCAATTTTCACACAGAAATAAATATTTACAAAGAGGCACTCCCAATAATATTTTCTCAATCTCCAATTCAAAACTCATAACAAATCGCAGTTTTGATTTATTTTATAGACATTTTTGCTGCAATTTAGTTGTTTTTCTTTAACCCTTTCCAGCCCTTGTCTTTTCCAAACAGAACTTCTTCAATCGTAAGAAACATTTTACCTGATTTTTCTAATTATTCAGCATTACCTACTGTTAAAAATACATCTAGCTTCAATTCACATTAGTTGCTGCCAACAGTTTCAATCGTCGAGAGACAAAATTGAATTTAGAATTAATTATTCCATTTTGGAATCACTGGGCTAGAAAGGGTTAATTATGACAATTAATACAATACAATTTATCGTGTTTAATGGATGGAGTTCTGGGCACAGCGGAATATTGTCTGGTATTGTCGTTGTCGAATAGTTGGGAATTTATTGAAATTCGTTTGGTTTTACATAACTTTATTCGTTACTTGGTCGATTTAAGATTTATCTGAGACTGTGCTCATCATATTAAGATTCTTATAAGACTATGTCCATCTTATTAAGGTTTTACTGAGACTAATTATAAATACTTATTCTACTTACAAAGTTAATTCTTATTAATACGGGGTGGGAGTTGTGATTGGGAGTAGGGTTTGTTTATATTGATGATTAAGCGTTCCCACGCGATTCGGCTTTGATGGTTTTGTTTATTATAAGACCGAGACAAAATCATATGCATTTGTTTACATGAAAAAGATGATTGATTACGATTATACCTGTAATGATCATTATGTGTTTATAAAAAGGACTTGAATTCGGAGTAAAAGTATAGGAGTATCGATGGGAATTCACTTGCCATCATTGTTTTAATTTTTGTTTTCTTTCAATCGAATCATGTAGATTTAAACATTTCAAGCCAATTTTCACACAGAAATAAATATTTACAAAGAGGCACTCCCCATAATATTTTTCAATCTCCAATTCCAAACTCATAACTAATTGAATCGCAGTTTTTATTTATTTTAAGGACATTTTTGCTACAATTTAGTTGTTTTTCTTTAACCCTTTCCAGCCCTTGTCTTTTTCAAACAGAACTTCTTCAATCGTAAGAAACATTTTACCTGATTTTTCTAATTATTCAACATTACCTACTGTTAAAAATACATCTAGCTTCAATTCACATTAGTTGCTGCCAACAGTTTCAATCGTCGAAAGACAAAATTGAATTTAGAATTAATTATTCCATTTTGGAAAGGGTTAATTATGACAATTAATACAATACAATTTATCGTGTTCAATGGATGGAGTTCTGGGCATATTGTCTGGTTTTGTCGTTGTGGAACCTCAATAGTTGGGAATTTATTGAAATTCGTTTGGTTTTACATAACTTTATTCGTTACTTGGTCGATTTAAGATTCATCTGAGACTATGCTCATCATATTAAGATTGTTATAAGGCTATGTTCATCTTGTTAAGGTTTTACTGAGACTAATTCTACTTACAAAGTTAATTCGATTATACGTGTAATGATCATTATGTGTTTATAAAAAGGACTTGAATTTGGAGTAAAGGTATAGGAGTATTGATGGGAATGTTTACACTGGGTTCTCTTTGTTTATATTAAAGTATATCAAACTGGGATCACGGTGGAGATTCCTTTATGCTGATGTATATGTTTATATAATAATGCGACTAAGAGACTCTTTGGATGTCAATTATAATAATTATAATAATAATGGTTGAACACTACAAATTATTTTATTTTATTATTAACAATTGACAAGATATGTTTTGTGAATGATATGACAAAAGCAAGAATGTTTTAAATAAAGAATGTTTTTATTCAAGAAAATAATAATGAACTGTATATTTAAATATGTTTGCTTACAATCAGAGAAAATACTATTGTTTTTATACATTTTTTTCAATTGTTTATAAAATTCCACGGTGGAGTGAGGGAGTTGAAATATTTAATAATAAAAGTGGAAATAAATATTTGCTCGCAATATGTATATGCTTATGAGCATATAGAAAACGTGTTTTATTATTTACAGTTCATAACATTTTGTTACATTCATAAAATATCGTGTTTGTTTGTGTTTTATGTTTATTATTATTATTATTATGAAAAAAGAGAAATTACATATCCACATGGACACCGTTTCTACATTTTAACAAATAAAACAATACAAATTCATAAAATATTTTTTATTAATAGCTTTCTGTATTATTTTTGTTTCAATGTAATATAATTATTTTACTTCTATAGAAAAACATGTTTAATTAAAACATCTCCAATTTTTAAGAAATATTCAAAATCTAATGAAAATATGTTAAATATTGTTGACATGAATTTTATTTTTGTTAGAAATTAAGACTGTCGAGAGTGTAAAAATAAACAAACCCGGCGCATCCACTGAGTTGAAATTTTTCGCGTTGAAGTTTTTTTTTTAATTAAATTGGGATTAATTTAAATTTATCTGCGCCGAGAGTGATGCGGGAATGAAGCGTGGATAATAAGTGATTGTCCATAATTGAGGAGGGTAGATAGGAGCTTCGGAAAATTGGATAAAACATTGGTGGCGGAAATAAATTGTTTGGAAAGCTTGAGTGAGTAAGATTCGCGTTGTATTCGCGCTCGGTGTTAAGACTTTCTAGTAATCCCTAACCTTTTTTCGGAGATTTCCTTTTGTATTTTGTGTATATAGTTTTCTTTTCTGAGGACGTTAAGTGCCGGAGACTAGTGACCTAATTACCTGGTAGCGGTGGTCGGCCTGGAAGGAGAGCGATAAGGAGACTTTGCGAGGCTATTACGGCGTTAATTGGATGTTCGCCGCGTGGAAAGTTGGCGCGTATTTCTTTGCTGGATGTGTTGTACGTCTGCAAGACTTATTAAATATTCAGACGAGGGGGTAACCGCCTCCGAGCCACCCCTTCTCGGGCAAACGGCGGCGAGCACCTCACGACTCTCAGGGGGTGATTTATGCATCTTCCTGCTGCCAACATTCTTTGCCTCAGCATCCTGAGACCCACCCTACTCTCTTTCTCTCACTCGCCCTTCTCTTGGGACCGAACTTAAAATCCAATTTAGGTCGATTTTCCAGGTGGTTAATTATCCTTCTAACCAGTTTTCTCCCGCCGACAACTTATATTTTAATTAACTTTATTGAATTTCCGAAACATGCGCCACCGTCCATACACACAACCCATACATTCATTACGCGAAACGTCAAAAGAGCGACGGACCATTCATCATTCCGCCAACTGCAAAACGGGTTCGTACATCCCCGCTCCGAATGAAAGAAATCCGTGTGTTTAATCCGTGCGGATCTTAAAGTTTACGCAAGCCGAATCAATTCCGACGACGCTGTAACTGTCTGAATGCGAAAGCTCCATTCATCATATCCAAAATCCAATAGATGACATGTAACAATAAACCTGTAGATCCATCCGAACCAGAAATAAATGTTTACTTCTCGTTCCATCATGTTTTCTCTTTTAAAGAAGGCAACAAGAGTCCATTTGGAAAGTTTAATTCCTTCTTAATGACAACGAATTCATTTGCATCTTCAAGTAAAATTTCATACGTAAATAGTTTGTAACTAATGAAACGTTTTATATTCATAAAATCATGAAATTTTCATACAAATTCGTTCTTAATTACATATTTTGTTTATTTGATAATACATTTAATTAATGATCATTTTTGGTGTCCCAGGGTTAAGAAATCCTTGGACACCGTGGATTATCTCGTAGTTATGTCGTTGCGGAGTCTTAGAGGGGTTTATGAATATTAAATGCAATATTCTTAATTTAGTTTTATTGTATACATCGGAGTTTTATTGAGAAGTCAACTAAACAATAGTTGATCTCAGGTATTATTAACTAAGAGTTACATTCTGCTCTTAAGTTAGTGTTTACGAAGTAAGTGCTCTTCCTTGGACCCTCCAAGTAAGATCAACTTCTCCGTTCGGCCCCTTAGGTAAGACTTACCATCAGCCCGACTTCAGACTCTTTGACATTTAGACTTTAGACCCTCTTCCAGACTGCCTTTGTATTACATAAACATCCTATTTTATAGTAGGGAATTAACATAGTGGGAGTACAATATTTGGAAAGGANNNTAAGTCTTAATGACTTACATAAATAAACATGTATAAAATAATAAGGGCTAACATAATATAAACAATAACGGTTATACATAACACTTTCTTTCTAAAGTTTTTTTTTGTCAAAGTAATTTTCAGGTGAAAATGTTATTATTTCCGTAGGTCAGATAAACCGAAACGGTCGGATTATTACAGTTTTATATTGGTGCAGTAGTGCCCGAATTAAGGGATGAGAGGTAGCAGATCGGACAGTTAATTAAAACACGCGACCCTATGTTTGCAGTTGCATAATCCGCATCGCAAAGTACACAAGTGAAGCGATATTATTTATTGCTAAATGCGAGTTTTTAATTAAAATTTATTAATTGCGAATGCCGTTGTTGCCGCTGCTGCGTTTTTCCAGTTTGCTCTTCCTCTGTTTATCTCTCTGCACAACTCTATATATATATCCCTTTCCCATACTCGCGCTGTATGTGCTGCGCTATTTTTATGCGCTCGCTGCGCCCGCGTTCCACATCGGAAATTGGTAGGAATCATTTTGGAACTTTTTAATTAAAACGCGCAAAAAAAAATATATAGAACAACCTGCGACGTAATTAGATGTTATTACTAACGAAACTTTTATAATTACGCAAATGTAATGTCATGGTAATTTAAACCATTTTTTTGTATGCAGTTTATTTTTAATCAAAGTAGTTTAGCATCTTTCTAGATGAGAAAGATAATATAAAATATGATTTTACTAAAAATGAGATATCTGTGATATGTGTTGTGAAGATATACAACAGAAATGATCATGTGAAGTATGATCTTGAGATATTTTATTATAATAACACTTTTGTATGATATAATGGAATTGAAGTTAATACTGGAAATGTTTGTTCAACAAAAGAAATAAATCATAACTGAAATTGGATAAAGTTGATTAGTTGAAATTGAATGTAGTAATTTTCAATTAGTCGATGCGCCGTGTAGAGAGGCAAATGTTAATAGTATGAATCAAAAGGGTCGTTGCAGCAATGCTGTACATGCGTGTATTATTAATACTTGAAAGTCAAACAAAACGGATATGCTCGACTGAAGTATAGCTGTACTGCATTGAGGGAATATCAAAAAAAGGTAGTAATAACTCTGTGCTGTTGTTCTACAGGAGATAATCGAATTATCAAGCAAAGTACCAAAAATGTTTGCCCGACAACACAAATAAATCATAATTCAAATTAAACAAAGTTGGTTAGTTGAAATGGAATGGAGTAACTTTCAATTAATCAAACCCCCGCCATCCCGTATAAATGGAAAGTCAAACATTGATAACTGACTCTCCATTGTGTGTGTGCGTGTGTCCTGTGTCCATTTTTTAATTTCATTTGGAAGGGTGAAATTGCGTGTTTGCGCGAAATCCTCGCTCTCGCTCGATTCCCTTCCCTTCCTACGTAATTCAAATTTTAAAGCGTCGCCCTCTCTCCCCCAGTTTTATGTGATGTCATTTAGCGCTAATTAGAGCACCCTGGTTAAGACTGATAGCTCAGCCATGTGCATGATTAGTACGGCTAAAGGGGGTGTCCGGATGGACGAAAGGGAAGGAAGGGCTTTAATACAGCGTGCACGTCTTCTGATAAATCTGTTTCTCTGATTAGGACGTGGGCGAACGGGGCGACGACAATGGGATGATAATCGAGCGGATCCTTATTCTGATCAGGAATATTTTGTACGTTCCCGCGGACAGCGACGCGGAGAGGAGGCCGGACAACGATGCGAGCATCCACGATCAAGTGAGTGCTGTTTACGCCATTGGATGATTCAACTTTGGAACTGCAATTTCAGGTCCTCTGGGCGCTTCATCAATCCGGCATGCTGGATATCATCCTGTACATAAGTGGATCCGTCGCGGAGCGAGTATACTACATGCACGTAATGGAGATCCTGTCGTTTATGCTGCGTGAACAGAACGCCACACATCTGGCGCAGGCAGCCGTTCAGAGGAGTCATTCAGAGAAGATGCGAGACGAGGCCGAGCTCTTAGCCATCCGCCATCGCGAGAACAATCAGAAAGCCAACAAAGTTAAAAAGTTTTCTGGCGCTAGGTACACACATCAAATACCCACAATATTTCTCAACTTCTCAAATGTTTGATATTTCTAAATAATTATTTTGTGTATCTTTCAGTATTGAATTATTATGTTTTGTATTATTTTATTAACTTTGATATGCTTGTTTAGGCATAGTCGTTTCGGTGGTACGTTTGTGGTAAAAACCATGAAATCCATCAGCGAAAACGAGTTGATCTGTCATAAACCTCTGGATAAGATGGACGCGCTGAAGTTTGATGTTAACAAGACGATGTCGAAGATTCCGAAGAACCGTTTACCTGTACAGGAGCAAAACGCGGAACGTCGATCGGCTTTCAGCATCCGTCTCTTCTTGAAAGAATTTTGCGTGGAGTTCCTGAAAGGCGCCTACAATACTATGATGTACCACGTGAAAGGCCGCCTGGCCCGAGCCAAATCGCAACACAACGACGAATCCTATTACCTCTGGGCGCTGCGTTTCTTCATGGAGTTCAACAGGAGCTATAAATTCGAAGTCAAATTAGTTAGGTAATTCTCACAATTCACCCGTCTTCCCGAGTGATTTACCTTCCATTACCCGCCATTCCAGCGAAACGATGTCCGTGCAGGCGTTCCACTTCGTGCAGAAGCAGATGGAGACCTACTACGATATGCTCGCGATGGACAAGAAGAAAATCCGGCAATGGTCCAGACGACTGCATCTCTCGTTGCTCGCGTACAGGGAGCTTCTGATGACGCTCGCAGCTATGGACAAGTGTCCAGATGGTTCGGTGCGCGATTCCTCTAAGGTGATCAAGAGCAACGTGTTCTACGTGCCCGAATACAGGGAGTTTATCATCACGCTGCTCGTCAACTACGACGAGGTGAAAATGTCCAGGCAGTATCTGTTCGATCTACTCGAGGCGCAGCACGTCTTCTTCAAGCTGCTCGAGTCCCATTGCGGCGGAAAAACTGGACGCGTGGTCGTCCAGAACAGACTTAAACCGCAGAGGAAAAAGAAAGGTAAAAATTTCTGCTGGAACCTATTAATCACGCGCGTCCCGTCATCTTATACTCACTACACATATTTGACAAACGATGTAGGAAATTAATGATGCGTTAAATTGTTATTAGACGTAATAAATCATATCCAGAGATTGCAATACCAAGATAAAGGTCATTTTTTATTATTGCAATTTCATAATACTTATATTTTAATAATTTAATCTTTTGTACTCTCTACCTAAAACAGGATAATTTAGAGCAGTGGTTTTCAAACTTGATGTTACTACGCCTCCCTCAAAAGTATGTAATCATTTGGCGCCTCCCCATCCCCCTCCATTTCATAAAAGGAACGCGTATTACAGCAATATGGATAAGAGCATAGGAATGTATCTATACTTGATGGATTCCCCAAACATTCAGCTTTCATGCGCATATGCATATATTGCATTCATTCTATCTATTATAGTTTTCGAGTAAATCAATGAAATGTGAAAACACTGTTTTTCGAACGTTCTAATTTCAATTTTTCAATTTGAACG